GGTAAAAAAGGAAAAAATATGTCCTTTTAAGGGTCCTGTTCCAGTGACAAGCTGTTATTTTGGCCCCTTATTTCCTGTATATAGCCTATACATCCACAACAATTTCTGAAACCATACAATATTATTTGTATGGCCATCATATAAAAAAGGTCTAAATCCTTAGTCTGGGGCAGTGGACAATAATGAAAGGTTCTCTCTTGCACTGCAGCTTCACTTCACTTTGCCTTTTCTTCATTTTTTCCCAATATCTCTGCCCCCCCACCTTGTTGAAAACATTCAACTCCTTTCAATTTGTTAGCAAAGAATGTTATTTATCTTACAATGACTTCAATACCCTATATTTAATAAACCTATATTTCATACAAATATAAACTACCAGTCAAAAGTTTTTGAACAGTAAGATTTTTAAAATTAGTCTCTTCTGATCACCAAGCCTGCATTTATTTGATACAAAGTACAGCAAGAGCAGTAATATTGTGAAATATTTTTACTTTTTAAAATAACTGCTATCGATTGGAATATATATTTATAATGTAATTTATTCCTGTGATCAAAAAGCTTTTGAAAAACTTGAAAAAAAAAAAATCTAATCTGTTTTCAACATAATAATAATAAATGGTTTTTTGAGCAGCAAATCAGAATATTAGAATGATTTCTGAAGGATCGTGTGACACTGAAGACTGGAGTAGTGATGCTGAAAATTCAGCTTTGAAATCACAGGAATAAAATACATTTTTATAAAAATATTTCACAATATTACTGTTTTGGCTGTATTTTGGATCAAATAAATGAAGGCTTGGTGAGCAGAAGAGACTATAGTTTAATACTCAACTACGTTAAAAGAAAGACAAAACTATCTAGCGTATTTACAGATGAAGCTGACCTGCACTTGAAGCCCTGAACAGGTCAGTGATGTTGCTACATTTCACTGCTTCTTCTGGCCTCTTCCTCTCTTTCATCGCGTCCCGTGCATCGGTGAGCTCATTTTTATTCTTAGTAGTTTCATTAATTCAGTCGCTTTTTCTACTTTATTAACGCTCTTTATTAATCCCCCCCCCCAGTAGTTTGAAAAACAAGTCATAAATAGTTGGATTCCGAAGGAAAGAAAGCACATATTGACAGCAGAAGCAAGGGATATTGATTCCATCCTCTGCTTCTGTCTGCCTCTGTTTTGAGAACTTGCCCTTTGACCCCTCTGCATCTGAGCCAGTTGCTTCCTGCTTGACTCAGTGTGAGTACAGCTGGACCACTTTAAGACTGCAGGGTGATTTGACATTAAGGAGCTCTCACTTCCAGCAGGATGAACAAATGGCTCACGATGCACACAGAGAACAGGGTCAGCGGGGGGAGACGTCTCTCCTTAGCCTCATTCTCACTCATCTGGGGTGGAGTACTACGCCAACATGAAAAACAGCACACGGCGGAGGGACTGATTTTATACGCATAGGAAGCTGGCTGGGTTTACATACGGGCTACATACACTCTCACACATATGTCCTTAAAAGGCTTAAAATAACCCTGTAGACAGTGCAGCGCTGTATCTAGGCAACAAGAGGCTGGTGATATGGATTCCAGCGGTTTGGTTCCTCTCAGTCACAGAGTTAATGATCCTACAATCTTAACCCAGAGCCCTCAGCACTTCCACAAGATAAAACCATCACTGAGACACCCGTGGCGTGCATATAGGCAGGCATCAAACCTATTGTGTGTGTAGAGCAATGACAGAACTGACAGCGACAAGTCAAAAAGAGAAGGAGCTGGCGGTGAGAGCATTGAAGGGAACTACATTTCTTAAAAAAGACCTGTAATATGCAGATCGCGTCATGCTCCCATCATGGTCGGCTGAGCTGAACATCTGTGACAGATGGTGACACGTTATGGGGACACTGCAGCCGATTGGCTACGGGGGGAAAGCACACCTGGTGTTGACAGGTGTGTCAGATTCTACCTGCTCGGGGAGCAGCGCCGGATGCCTGTGCCTTTTCTAGAGCAGATCTGGGAATTTCAGGTATTTATTTTGAGGCGAGAAGAGACAAGCATTCAAAATTTCAGTATCGCTGTGCTGTGGGATGATACATGGCAACAGGGTCCAAAATTAATACTCCTCAAGTGCCAAACGCAAGTAAAAATTGGGTTAGTCACCACTTGGCTGGTAACTGTCTTAGGAACTGCAACATCTTTTAAATCAAATTAGTTAGACAGTCTAATTTAAATCAAATTAAAAAATAGTTTGACTCTCCCTGATGCAAAAGATGTGCATTATTTAAATAAATGACTACCGTCTATCAAAGAAACCATCCTGTTGTGACATGTTTCTTCTTAACTTTTACCAAACTGGAAGCTTTCCCATCAGGATTTATTCAGAATGTGGCGAAACATATGTGGAATATATTTCACAAAAAATTAGGCCACCAAAACAAAAATATGAGGAACAAAATTATTATGGCTTGCTTGTCAATGTTCATTACTTAAGAATTCCGTCATTATTTACTCATTTTCATGCCCTTCCAAACCTGTATGAATTTATTTTTTCTACTCAGCACAAAATAAATTATTTTGATGAACGCTGGGGGTCAAACAACATTGGACCCAATTGACTTTCACTGTATGGACAAAAAAAAACCATACTATTATTATTTTTTTCTTTTTGCAAAATAATTTTTGTGTGAAGAAATACAGGTTTGGAACGAGTAAGGGTAAGGGTAAGGGTAAGTAAATGAAATGAATTTTTTTTTTGCATTTTTAGGCTAACTATTCCTTTTAGGAAAAACAGCTAAACCATTCCCAAACTGACATTTTTTTAATGACAATAAAACAAAACCTAGTGGCTTGTATGAAATATTTATTGGTTGGTAAATGTTCTCAATTCATCGGCCCTGGCCTGTGTGGCAGACAAGTAAATTTTGGACCCTTCTTAGAATAACAATAAAACCATGTGTGGGGGGTGCTTTGGAATTAGGATTTTCTTTCCCTGGCAATCAGCTTGATACATTTTACTCTGGCACAACGGTTTCATTCATTCTCCATGGAGAAAGATGCACAAATGAGCTCCAAGTGCAGGGAGAGATGCATCCACTTAGATCAGAACACTATTGTTCATCCCAGCAACACCAAAGCAGACTGCTCTCTCGTGAGTCATATCTATATCTGTCATTACTAGGGTTGGGTATCGTTTGGTTTTTTATCGATACCGGTGCCAAATCGATACTTTTAAAACGGTTCCGGTGCCTAAACGGTGCCTGAACCGATACTTATAAAAAATAAAATAAAAATAAAAATTCCCCCCAAAAATGATGGATTGGCGGGGTTTGTGGGTGGGCATGGTTCGTAGCAAGGTTTTTTTTTGTTTGTTTGTTTGCTTATTTTGTTTTTATAATAAATAAAAAGAAAACAAGTAGAAAGAATAGAAAAAGAATAGGGAATGCTAGTGTTAGAGAGTCATTTTTAAATAAAAAGAAAACAATTCAATAGAACAGAAAAAGAACAGATAATGCTAGTGTTAGAAGGTCATTATTTATAA